CTCCCACTCTCTGGGTCTCCCCTCTCAGAAGAATCCCCAACCCTCTAAATCCACCTTGCCTCAGTGACTACCACTAGTCATCATCAAGCCCCCTTTCCCTGGGGCAAACTGCAGTCTGATAGCCACTCATCACTAGCAAGGGCGTTGGACCTGCTGCCTTTCTTGGCCCAGCTGTCTCCCTGCAGCTCCAATACTTCCTCCGGCCTTCAGCAAGGCCTCAGCCTAGGGACTCGCCAGGCCAGAGCTCCCTAGCCCTGCTCTACTTCAGGTACTCCGTACACCCAGTCAGCTAGGGCCTTTCCACTCCAAGGCTGGAGTGAGACTCCCTGTCTCCTGGCTCACTGCCCTTTTACCAGGGCCAGCTGTGCCCTGACTGAGCTCGCCACACCTGGGCCGGCCAGCCAGCCAGCCTCCTTGCCTCAACTGCTCTTAATCCCTTTTCTAATTGGGTCCCAACCACAGCCCTCCCCAAGGGTTGCTTTTAATCCCTGCTCTCCAGGAGTGGGGCAGTTGCCCCACTACAGATGGTCTATACTTGGTCCTGCCTGAATGCAGGGGGCCAGGCTAGATGACCTCTTGAGGTCCTTTCCAGTCCTACATTTCTATGATTTTCTGACCGTCAGAGTGTGGGAGCGAGCAGCTAGTCAGAGGGGAGAGAATGTCTTAAGAACTGTTAATACATAAAAAAACTATTTGGATGCTGCTGACATCATCAGAGTTCAGGGGTGCTGAGATCCATTGAACCAAACGGTAAACCCTGTATGTAATGGAAACTACTTCAACCCCAGTGCACAGCAGCACCCCTAGTTCCAGCATCTATTTCAGAGTCTGCAGGTGATTTCCTTTATTGTTCTGGCTGGTTCTTTCTAGGTGTTTTTGTCAGTGACCTAATGTGGCTGGAATGGAGAGAGGGGTGGGGCACATGAGTCTTGAGGCCCTCCACTATCCAATTCTGGTTCTGGGGATACTGTGGAAGGGTAAACAGAACTGGGTCTTGGCTTCCCCCTGCTCCACTGGTATAGCTGTACCTGTTTCAGCATGAATGCACTCCTACTCAGATTGATTTATATGTGAAGGATTAACTGAGTTGTTGATGCAAATGAGAGACATGTTTCAGTAAGGCTTGGCCCCTAATGTCAACATTGCAAAAGTAACTATCACATCTGGCACCTATTGGGATCTTTGCTGGCAGTGTCACTGACCAGGCCAATGATGAAAACAATATGAATTGCACTTGCCTCTAAATGTGGTCTTTGTCAGTGTTGAAGTATGTTGAAGGCACATTGTGGGAGAAATTTATACTACGGCAGAATGTGCTGCACATTAATCTGTGTTGTAGCTGTTTTTGTGAATAACTACACAGGGGTTGGAAGCAGACTATGGGACCTGTTTTGTTCTCATGTCGGTGAAAGGTTAAACTCACTGACTCCAACAAGAGCAGGATATGGCACTAAATTGCTTTTAGTGGGCCCAATCTTGCAGTCCTTAATTAAATGAGTCTTCTACCCATTTGAAGCAGGTAACTAAACTTGTAAACTAATGACTTTAATTAATTAATATTAAATTGGATATACATAACTAAAAGTAATTAATTGACCCAGGGTTTCACTGGCAATGTTTCTGATCCTGCAGACACTTAAACTCTTAGTGCCGTTGAATACTCCCACTGAACTGAGTAGGAGTACTCAACTGCATGAAGTTACATGCACGATTGAAACCTAAATCTTACTACCATGTTCAACATGCTGCATCGTCTGATAAAGGGCTTGAGCTTACTATTTCTGCTTCCAAAACTTCCATTGAAGTTAGTGGGGCATCTGGGTGCTTACAGATTGCAAACTTGTGCCATAATATGTAACATAAAAAACAAATGTAAGATGCATTGATATTTAGGAATATTAACAAAAGTGTAGTCAGTGCTCAAACATTTTTTCCATTAGTTTCCAATGGTTATAATGGAAGGTTTGGCTAAGCATAGCCTACTGGTGCTGGCATTTGTGTTTGGAGACTTTGAATGACTTTAGGTTACTCCACAGCCTGAACAACATATTGACAAACTTAACTCCAAGAAAGTGCTTCATTTATTATGATGAAAGGACAAAAGGATATGCTGAGTGTCTTATTAGTTATCTAATGTTCATGTGGCCTGCCAATATAAATACAGAGTTAGGACAAAATCAGGAGCACTTTCTAGTCACTTAAAGTAATTAGTTGAACATGTGTTTCTCCTAAATATGTTGCTCATAGTCTTAAAAATATTGTGTTTTGTTTTGGAAGATGTCTTTATTGTTTAACTTCATAGAAAGGATTACTACTTAGTATTGTCATTGAAGCAAAGGTAGCATTTGCATTAGTAAAATAGGGGGACTGTCTATATAGGTTCAGTGGTTCATTTTTTAAAAGATTAAACATACTTTGGAAACTTGAATGATCAATATTTTATTCCATGCTTATTTCATTTTAAATTTCTGCATGCTTTTAAACTGGCTTCAAGCCAGTTAGGTTGTATCATCCGCTTGCCAACCAAAGAGAAGAGGAACATGAACAAAAATAGCTTACATCAAGGAGAGCCTCTATGAATTGCCACTTGTTTTTAACAGTTGTTAAAGCCAGCATAATGAGCTACTGATACTTTTTCTATTGAGGAGTTGTGGGGAAACAGCTTAAATGTGATATTTAATATTTAGGTCCATGCTATCTGATCTTAGAATTAAGCCAGAACAGTACGAGACTGAAAGTACCAAATAATGAAGTCCTAATTGCCCGCAGGTCAAAGACAGCTCATGAAGATTTTATACAGCAGTCTCTTCAAGTTTTGCTCACAGGTCCTAAATTGACATGGAGAGACCACCCTCTAGTGGGCAGACAGAGTATTTCACTCTCCAGTCATTTATTTCTGTGCTTTACAGGAAGAAAAATTATGCATACTGCAGCCCAATATCTGGAAGTGTTTGTAATAAGCATGAAATTGAATTGAAGTGAGATAACGTAGGCCTTTTCTCACTTAACACCTTCGCCACCCCTGAGGATAGCTTTCACTTAGCTTTGCTTATGCTAAATGAGAGTTTTTCCAAGATGAGGCAGAGGCAGTGAGACACCAGGTCCCTCTGTGCAATCTTGGTGCTTCATTTTTTTTTATGTCCAATAACCTTTACATATCCGAAAAAAAGCATTTTGTTAAATAATGTTCTAACTCTATCCAGCAGCAGATTCTTTAAGCATTTTCATGAGTTAGTCAAGATGTCTATGGAATTTTATTTTAACCAAAGGGTATTGCCTTTGTTAGTTGGTTATCAAAATTCCCCTTGAAAAAAAATCCATTTAATATAAAAATACATATCTGGAATAATTTGACTTCACTGTATCTCTCAGATACCTCTCCTTTGAGAGAATAAAGAACAACATACATTTTGCCTCTTGGATACCTAATTATCCTGTTCATGCTTACATTTGTTCTTCCTGTCTGGAGTTCCAGCACTGTTTGGTCTATTTATTTCTTGGCACATCTCTGCTTCAGGAACAGATGATGATAGCTTATTCTGTACCGTGTGTCTTTCACCTCTGAACACTTATTTTTATATGCTATCAACTGGGCGTCAGCCACAATGGGATGAATATATATAAAATGCACAGTCTCCCTAGTAAATGTTAAAATGTTGCCTAAACACTAACACTGGTAGCTTCCATTCTGCAGATCATTTAAGGCGGTTTGATATTTCCAAACACAGCACTAGTGCGATTCATTCAATGGGATGTGCTAACGAAGGGGGTAGATAATAGAATAAAAGCGGTGTGTTTTCAGTCATATGGATGTGTAAAGTATTTAAAACCAATTATTAAAGAGCATGCAGTTAAATCAGTGAAGCAGGGATTTAGGTGGACAATGTCTTCTTTCTTGGGTAACGTGGTGAAATCCAAAGTAAAACTGGATCTGGGATTTAGCGTCAACTTTTTTTCTAATAGAATTCTAAAGCTTATTTTCCATTAGGGGTTCAAATACTTCTTGCCTGCATTAGTCTCCCTGCCTAAGTGGCTTGTGCGCTGTGGAAGTCGATTGCTTTCCCACCCTTCCCTCATTGTACAGGCATCTGGCCATGAGGAGCTTGGTCTTACACAATCCGCTTCCCTTTTCTTCCTGTTTTATGCTGTGCTTCGGTGTTTTTATAGGGGTTTAAAAATAGCGTACGCTGTCTTTCTGCCTACCCTTTTCAAGAGTAGATCGATTTAGGGCCCGCTCCCTGCAACCTTTACTCGCGGAAGCAATTGCTGGTGCAGCGGCACCTCGTTCCAGTGAAATCGTGTCGGGAAATAAATCCGTGGGGTGTATTTTGTGTATGTTGGAGCCAGCTCTGAGTGCCACCACTATGAACAATTCTGCATTCTCTTTTCTATTTAAAAAAAAAAATAAGTCGGACTTATTTCAGTGAAATCAAGCGTCAGGGAGCAAACCCCGGCAATAAAACATCAAAGGGAAGAGTGTGGGGGGAAGATCTGTGTGTATCCTGGTTTCGAATGGAATAGACCGTGTTTCCTTGCTGTGGACAAAGTCCTGCGATGAAAAGAAGAGGCCGGGTGAAAGGCTCCGGGGGGCATGTGTCATACACATCCGCCCCTCTCTCTTAATTTAACCCCCGGAGCGTGACTGAGCGCTGGATTTTAGTGGGTTAAAACGGGGCACCCCCTAGCCTTTTTCTGCTTTTACCCTCGCGTCCCACGGCGCCTTGCTCCCCAGGAGGCAGGTGCCGGGGCAGAGCCGGGGCTCGCGCCGCAGCGAACGGGTGCTAGGGCGGGGGGTGCCCAGCAGCTGCAGAAAGTCCTGCCGTGCCGACGGGACTGAGCGCCGGGGATCGGGACGAGGCGTGGGGGCTGCCTGGCCCGGTGCCGGCGCAGGTGGATGCCCGTCCCCGCCCCGCGCAAAACTCAGCAAGTCGCTGCGCGGGGGCGTCTGAGCGCCCAAAAAGCCGGGAGGGAGGGGAGGGCAGAAGCGGGGAGGCGGCGGGCGCATGCGCTCCGCCTGGCCGTGCCATATTGGAATGAGGCGGCGAGCGGAGCGCCGGAGAGCCCGAGCCCCGGCAGCCAGCGGCGCAGGGCTGGAAAAACTCGCCGCAGGTAAGGCGGGCGCCGGCCGAGCCCCCCCGCGGGCGGAGCGGGGCCGGCCGCAGCTGCTGGGCGCGTTTTGCCGGCCGCTTGCGGGCCCCGCCGGCTTTTTCTCGCCTCCCGAAGTTTTGCTGCGGGAGGCGGCCAGGCAGGGCGGCAGGCGCAGCGCAGGGAGGAGGGAGCGGCGAGCGCGGCTCCCGGAGAGATGCGCGGGCTGGAGAGGGGCCGCTGCGGATGCGCCAGCCCCGCGCGCAGCGGGCGGCCCCGCAACTCCCCGCAAAAGTCGCCGCGCGCTCGGACGCGCCGGCCGCAGGGGAGCCCCGGCGGCCGCCCCAGAGGAGGCGTCCGGCTGCGCGCCCCTTGGCGAAGGGAGCCCGCGCGGCGGCCGCTTGCCAAAGTTCCCCCTGGGGGCAGGGGCTGTTCCTGTTCTCTGCCCCGGCCTCGCGCGGGGAGCCTTCCACGCGGGGTCTGGGTCTCCCCGCTGCTGCCCGGCCACCTTCCCTAAAGCTCTGGCCCCATTTCTGCTCAGCAGCCTGGGGGGCCCGGCGGGGAGGGGGTCAATCCCGCTGGATGTAACCTCCCCCTCCCTCACTAACTGTGCGGCGGTGTGTGTTTTTTAGTTCAGCCTGAAGTCAGGTAGTTTTGTTCCCCTCCTGCTCGTTCCAAATAATTAAGTTAGGCAATTACAAATGTGAGCTGTCCTACTTGTCCCACGCCTCCCCCCTCCCCCGACAAAATGGCGTGTGGACGGGGATCTTTAAACGCAGGGATCTTTTGGATCTCCCTCCCCCGAAGAACAGCAGTGCAATATGCCGTGGGGCCGCGCTGCTCATGTGTTTTCCAGTCGGCCAGTGCATCCCTCCCGGGCGGAGACGAGTTCCACGGGGATCCGTGGGCGCTGCCCCATTCCGTGAATTGGCCTTTAAATCACTGACAAGGAGGTCATTGCTTTTATGCTGTGGCGAGAGCGGCAGAAGCCACAAATGCAGATTCCAGTTGTTTTAGTAAACGTTTCAATTGCAGAGTTGTATGAGGCCTCCCCTCCCCCCCAATGTAGGAACTGCTGGCAGCTCCCTCAGGACTTTTCACTGTGTTTAAAAACAATACTGCTCGTACTGCCTTCCCATTTTATATTTTGCTGCTTCTCCCCAGCCCCGTTTTCTTTCACTAACGGGATGTGCTCAAGAAAACAAGATCTTTGTTTCTTTAGGAGTTCATCTGCCTTGATAGCTCATTCTGCCCCTGAAGTGGTAAATCCTCCATTTGTGACACTAGCACTTGGTTGCTGTGGAGATTATGATGATGCCATAGGACTCGAACTTCACTTTAGGGGAATAAGATAGGGGGGAAACAAAAGTAAACTGCAGAGGAGAGGAGAAAATGTGACACAAGCACAATTGTTCCTAAATGGGCAAGATTCTGAAAGCTTTCCATGGGCATCAGCAGCAATTATTATTCTCTCTCTTCCCTCCTCCTCCCTCACCCCGCCCCCCAGCCAAAAAAAAAAAAAAAATCTTGGCTGGGTGAGGGGAATGAGTCTAGGGTAGAAATAGGGCAGGGAAAAGAAAAACAAGCCCGGCAGTTACTGTGAGTTTCTAACAAGGTGGGCTATTAATATCCCACAAGGCCTTCCTTTAGATTACATAATAGGCCAGGGTGATGGCTGTTTAATGGTCCCAGGTGGGCTCTACTGGAATGATTACATGTACTTTGGAGAAACTTGTTGCCATCATAAAAAGTGATTAAAAACAGTAACATTCATGTCATAGTTTTACCCACTTTGACAGTAGAATTCTACTGTAAGATGTTTTAGTGGTTTTTGTAGCGAAGAAAAAAGGCCTACATTGCTGCTTCTCTTCTGTCAGCTGCCTCCAGGGAGCTTGTTGCTGACAGTAGCCTGGGAGGTTACCATAGTGAACATTTTAGTAATCCAGAATGTAAGGTGCATGATTCTGAAATCACTGGAAAAACTAAGATCTATCTTGCAAGTTATAAAGATAACTTTGTGTTGCAACATACAGTAGATTTATGGTGAATGTGGATTAGTTACTTAGCAGTTGGCTTCTAATGACAAAGAATAAAAGTTTGTAAACTCTCCATAGCAGGGAATATCACTTATTGCTTGTATAGCACCTAGTACAATGGAGCTCTGACTTAGTTAAGGCCTGTAGTGTTACTGCAATATAATTATTCTTTGAAGTAAAGTAAATCAATGTAAGATGGCAGTAAGCTAGTAAATTGTGAACATTTTGAGGGACTTGCTTACAGTTGGTGTTCTAGCTATACACTTAACAATTTAAAATGTTAAATATGCATTATAAAATGATCTGCTACGGAAACACATCTGTTTGCCTCCTTTCTTAATTTCAGTTTTCTTAGGTTTTGCAAAATAATTGCATTTTACTTTGATTTGTTTCTTGCCACTCTGGTTGGAGGATGAGAATGTGATCTGTCTATTCCAGCACCATTATTAGTGGAGTAATAGGAAGAGATACTTGAATGAGTTATGGAACAACTTAGGCTTCAGTGGCTGTACAACTGAAAGAGCTCACTTCAAACACCTTTTTGTGGTTTGTGTTGCTTTAAAATGAAAGGGTGGGGAGAATGCAGTTTACTAATTTTTAGTTTACTTTTTGCTGGGTGACTTAATTTCACTTGGTAGAACAGTGAAGTGTTCCATGGCCCTAAAGCTGGTGCACAGATTTCACCACAGGAAAAATGCTGCACAGAATAAATATCGGAGCTAAAGTGACTGACTTAGTAATTATTGATCCATCACAATTTTTCTTTTATTCTTCTTCATTGACTTCCTACTGTTGAATTACCTTATCTGATTCTTTAACTGAACAATTGTTTAGTAGACTGCTGGTTTTACAGCATGGGGAAAATAGAGTGTAAGGAAACAAGCTAGCATCTGACAGTATTCCTGATTGGATGCTTGGATTTTTATATTCTCTGCACCCTTTCAGTGCCTTGCATCTGAGGTTTTCAAAGGGCTTTACACAGAATTGATCCTCACAACTGTTGCCAATCAAGGATTTTGTTAATATTTTATGGATAGTTTTTGGTGGTGTGTTCCTCAGCAAACCAGTGGCAGGTCTAAGAATAGCATCCTGGCCTTTTGATTTTCAGTCCCTGTGCCCTTCCACGCACACCTTTTCCAAATCCATACTGTTCCACTCTGCGGGTCGCTTGTAACTTCACAGCACTGCTTCTGTTTACAAAGTCCTGCCATGGTAACATGCCGCTATGATGCGGACATTGATACTGTCACCTTCTGGTAGCCAGACATAAGTAACCAGATTTAAGTAATGCAGTCCAAAGGGTTGGGAGCTTATTTACATGAGCATGTTATTTACAGAAGGGAGTAAATTAAACTTACTAACGGTTTCAGAGTAACAGCCATGTTAATCTGTATTCGCAAAAAGAAAAGGAGTACTTGTGGCACCGAAAGCTTATGTTCAAATAAATTGGTTAGCTTTCGTGAGCGACAGCTCAGTACTTGTGGCACCTTAGAGACTAACCAATTTGTTTGAGAATAAGCTTTCATGAGCTACAGCTCACTTCGTAGCTCACGAAAGCTTATGCTCAAATAAATTGGTTAGTCTCTAAGGTGCCACAAGTACTCCTTTTCTTTTTGCAAACTTACTAAAATGTGCTGTAAATGCAGGGAAAATCGAACATGGAGAAAGTATTACATGAGGAGGTCATATTAGAAGTTCCTTCTAATACATCAAAACATCAGTCTTACTACATAACTGAAATTCTTGTCATATGTGATCTTCCTGTATCAGTTAGCAGTGCTAACAATAATTTTAACACTACAGGAGAACAGGTAGATTGTCTTGTTATCCTTCAAGGTAGTTTCCTTTTCAGGTGCATATTTTCATAGTACTAGAACATAAGTTAATTATGTAGTATACAGAGGATCTTACCTGTCATGTCTTCTCTTATTAAATGCATGCTTGTAACATAAGATTTATGGGTTCTGAGGAAGTGAAGTGTTTACTACTACTACTACTACGAAACCTGTTTAGCCAGTGTACATATAATGTAGCTATGTAGAATAGCAAACAGGGATACTACTTGATGTCTAATGGATTTTAAATATTTGCCTGTTTGTGGTTTGGAGCAGTAGCATGTTTCTGTGCTAGACTGGTAGGGGATGTCAGTTTCTTCTGTTTATTTTGTTTTCCCCCCAGTGCTGCTGGAATATGGCTCTAAAGTTAGAGAGGGACTCAACTAGTTTTAGGCCCCCAATTTAGATGTGACAGACTTTTGTTTGTTTTCAGGGACTTTTACAAAATATGATAGCTCTTAATCTAAACAAGCTTTAAGTAAAAACAAACATTTTCCTGACTTTCTGAAGACAAACATCGTTTTAATAGGTAGGATCCTGAAAGTGAAACTCATTAGTCCACTTTTTCCAAACTGAGTAAAGGTGAAAAGGAAATTAAATTTAAAAATATGTTAATTTTTAATAATCTCATTTTAGTAACAAGCAAAGATTTGCTTTTTAAACTGAGTTTCATATGACTGACTTCCTAACAATCCGTAAAATACTCTATTCTTGCTAATATGAGACAAATATTGTAAAAATGTACAAAAGAGGTATCAAAGTGCAACTTCCATGCTTTACTGCTAAGTGAGCAATGCGGGTTCCAACAGCACAAAATATATAAAGTCTACTGTTCACATTGCATTAAAACAGCATGTAAGATGCATGTCGATCCATAAAACTGTCAGCCAAATCCAACAAAAGGGAGGGAAAATCTTTGCACTTGCAGAGCAAAAGAAAAATCAATGTTCTCAGGGCGCTTTTTTTAAAAACAAGCTTAACTTATGATAAGTGAGGTCATAGTTCTAAAACTTACTCTGAAACTCACAAAGAAATATCTCTCCTGAAGTACATGACATTGAGTACTGCTGTAGGAATGTTACAGTGCATTCTTAATATGGCATAGTTTATGGGAACCCACTATTTAAAAATTTAAGAAGTGACTTTCTTTTAG